GCTTATGCAAGAAGGAAGAGTGGTTGCATATGCATCTAGACAACTAAGGAAGCACGAGTTGAATTATCCTACTCATGACTTGGAATTGGCAGCTGTGGTTCATGCTTTGAAGATCTGGAGACATTATCTGATTGGACATAAGAGTGATATCTATACTGATCATAAGAGTTTGAAGTATATCTTTACCCAATCAGATCTGAAACTAAGACAACGTCGTTGGTTGGAATTGATCAAAGATTATGATTTGGAAGTGTATTATCACCCGGGAAAGGCAAACGTCGTAGCTGATGCACTTAGCAGAAAGAGCTATGCCAATGGAATTCAGATAACATCTATGTCAGTAGAGTTGTGTGCTGAAATGGAGTATCTCAACTTGAGCCTGGTCACTAATGCAATGGAATTGGTGATAGAGCCTACATTGGAGTAGGAGATACGCAAAGGTCAATTGGAGGATGAAAAACTTAAGGAGATAGCAGAGAATGTAGTGCTTGGAAAGGCACCCGGATTCAGAATGGATGAGAATGGAACTCTTTGGTTCGGGAAAAGGATATGTGTACCTGAAGTGAAAGCTATCCGAGATGCAATTCTGCAAGAGGCCCATGAGTCTGCTTATTCTATACATCCCAAAAGTACCAAGATGTACTTGGATCTCAAGGAGAAGTATTGGTGGTATGGTTTGAAGAGAGATGTGGCAGAATATGTGGCTTTGTGTGACACTTGTCAAAGAGTGAAAGCTGAGCATCAAAGACCTGCAGGGTTACTACAACCAATGAAGATCCCTGAATGGAAATGGGAAGAAGTTGGTATGGATTTTATTGTAGGACTGCCCCGCACTCAAAGAGGTTATGATTCAATATGGGTAATAGTGGATCGACTCACCAAAGTTGCTCACTTTTTACCAGTCAAGACTACCTATAATGGTGCAAGATTAGCAGAGTTGTACATGGAAAGAATAGTGTGCTTACATGGTGTTCCCAAGAAAATTGTGTCGGATAGAGGCACCCAATTTACATCGCAATTCTGGCATGAAGTGCATAGATCCTTGGGGACAAAGTTGAATTTCAGTTCTACTTACCACCCGCAAACTAATGGACAGACTGAAAGGATCAACCAGATTTTGGAAGATATGTTGAGAGCCTGTGCACTTCAGTATGGTGATAGTTGGGATAAGAGTCTGCCTTACGCAGAGTTCTCGTACAACAACAGTTATCAGAAGAGCCTCAAGATGGCACCTTTCAAGGCGTTGTATGGACGTAAGTGTAGAACACCTTTGTTCTGGAATCAGACTGGAGAAACTCAAGTGTTTGGTCCCGATGTCCTTAGAGACGCGGAAGAACAAGTGAGAATGATTAGAGACAATTTGAGAGTAGCTCAGTCCCGACATAATAGAGCTGACTTTCGAGATTGGTGATTATGTGTACTTGAAAGTGTTACCAATGAGAAGTGTGAGAAGATTCAATATGAAGGGAAAGTTAGCACCAAGGTATATAGGACCTTTTAAGATCCTAGAGAGACGTGGAGAAGTAGCTTATCAGTTGGAACTGCCTGAGAGCTTGTCCGGTGTGCACGACGTGTTCCATGTTTCCCAGTTGAAAAAGTGTCTGAGGGTACCAGAAGAACAAATTCCTTTGGAAGAACTTGCTGTCAAGGAAGATCTTACTTATGAAGATTATCTAATAAAGATCTTGGAAACTGCCGAAAGAGTTACGAGAAGCCGAACAGTAAAGATGTGCAAGGTGCAGTGGAATCGTTATACAGAGGATGAGGCTACTTGGGAAAGAGAAGAGGATCTGAGAAAGACTTATCCCCAACTGTTTGAGTAAGCAATCACCCGAATCTCGAGGACGAGATTCATATTAAGGGGGTAGAATTGTAACATCCTAAAATTTGCATTCTTTTAAAATTAGTAAATATGATTTATTTAAGCAAATGTGTGTGCATTAAAAGTCAGGGAAATAATAAATTTTGTGGAATTAAAAAAAAAAGTTTAGAAACTTTTTGATGCATACATGCTGCTGCATATCATATTGTGAATACTTAGAATTTGTTAAAGATTTCAAAAAGAATTGAAATTTGAATTTAAAAAGGGTTTTGGAAAATAGAAGAAATAGAAAGGAAAAGAATCCTTTTTCTTCCCCATTCATGAATTCGGCCCGCTGGCCCCTCTCCCCTTTCCCCGCTCGGCCCGGCACCGCAGCCCAGCCCAGCTCTCCCCTTTCCCCGCCAACCGCAGCCCAGCCCAGCTCTCCCCTTTCCCCACCAACCGCTAGCCCAGCCTCGCGCGTCAGCCGCGCCAGCCCAGCATCGCGCCAGGCAACCGCCCACGCTCCCCCGTGCCCTGCCGCTGACGCCTGGGCCCCGCTTGTTGGCGCCGTCTTCATCCCCGCGCGCCTCGGAACCGCCCGCGTCCGGCCTAGCCGCAACTGCCGCCCACGATTGGCGTCGTGGGAGCGCCCCCCCTCGCGCGCCGGCCGCTTTAAATCGGCACCGAGCCCATCTCCGCCCCTCCCTGCTGCCTCCATGCCCCATTTTTCCGTTCACCCGTGCGCGAGGAAGCTACAACCGCCGCCCCGAGGTCTCCGAGCTCCGCCGTCCGCCTCTGCGCGAACCACCGTCACCGAGCCGCCTCCGCTCCGATTTTTCACCGTGGTGAGCATCTCCGTACTCTCCCCTCTCCTCCCATGCTTTTCGTTTCTCGATTCCTGACTTCTCGAGCCCTGGCCGCGAGCTCTGCGAGCCGTGGTCGCCGGCCATGGCGACCACCGCGCTAGCCACCATTCCCGGCCGCCGTAACGGCATGGCCACGACCCCCTTCCTCCCCCGCGCTCACCGGTGCTCTCGGATCTCCGTTTGGTGAACCCTAGCCCCTAACCGCGCGCGACCGAGACCTTCACGCTGCCGACAATGGCGCCTCACTGCCGGCGTCACTGTGGCCGGCCGGATTTCCCCTCTCTCCCTCCCCAGGTCTAATCTGAACCGCTCGTTTCTGATCCGACGGCCGTGATGAGCCGATACCCCTTCGCGTGGCTGTTTTTCAAAAGAGTCCCTGAACTTTTCTAAGTCCTAACCCGCAGTCCAAGGCGTATTTCCCCGAATGTGCAATCCCGTTTGGAAAGCGTAAACTCCACGGCTTAAGTGAAAAATACGTTTTCAGTATTTATAGAAATGCCATTTGAACTGTTTCGCTTATAAAATTGTCGTTTTAGCTCCGAATTGATCCATTCAAATCGCGTTAGCTTCGTAATTTCATAAGCTACATGTTGGAGCTACTGTTAGTCCAGTTTGGAACTTTTTAATTTCATGATTAGATTTAATTAAATATATGGCTATAGGAAAACCCGTTTAAATCATAACTTTCATATTTTAGCTCCGTTTTTTCGTGAACTTCGCGTTGACGTGATCGTAGCGAGACGTAGATTAGTTTTACAAACATTTTATCTTGATTTCAATACTGTTGGTGTACTGTTCTAATGATAGGAATGTTTGCTTTGCATGAATGCTTTTGGAATGTTGTATGTTGCTGTGTTGGTCGCGTTCAGACGGTGAGGAAAACGTTGGAGACCAAGAACTCTTCGACGACCAGCAGGACCAGCATGAGTTTGTGAACCAAGGCAAGTATAGCATGGGCCTTCCTTGATGTCCTATTTCACTTTAATCAATTACTCATTTGCATGTGTCTAATTTTAATACCCGTAAGGACAACCTAGTGATTGTTTATCCTGTTCCTTGTCTCCTATGGGTTAAATGCATATGGGTAGATTGCTAGTGCTCTAACTGAACTTGATATACCTGTTGATGAATGATACTATGGAACAAAGTGAGTAACATGATTTATAACAACTGTTCCATAGGGCGAAAGTGCAAATGACCTTTGTTCATGTTGCTCCCGGCCCTCCATAAGGACTTATCTGTCAGCAAAAGCTGGGACTGACAGTGCAACTGGGAGAGTCATATTGCTCTGACTTTAGCTCAGTAATAGGATCTTTCCTAGCTAGTTAGAGGTTACCTTTTTGGCGCAAATGGGGCTTGCCACTTTGGGTATAGGGCTGCCTCTGTTCCTATGAGTATAGCCGCGATGGATATGTGCCATAGGAAAGGGGGGTTCCTACATCTGCCTGCCAAGGAAACCTAGCGGCCCTAACTTGTTAGGGAAACCTATGAAATGGCTTCATAGTGTATCCTGCCCGCTCACCTTGGTAGTGACATGGGAGTAATTAATCCGGGCATATGGGGATCACGACTCGCGGTGAATGTGCACCACCTCTGCAGAGGGTAACAAACTGTTATAACAGCAGTGCTCACAGTCACGAGCGGCCCGAAAAACTCACAGAATAAATGGTTATTTGTTGATGATCATTTAAAGTTGTTCAATGATGATATATGGTACACTTGACCCCGATATATGTTCTTATGGGAATTAAATGGGAGCTTAAGCATAACTTGTTAATATCTGAGAATAAAAGCTTGACTTACTAAAAATGCTAACTGCAGTAAACTAGTGTCAACCTTTTGAGTTTCATAACCCCATGTTAGCTTGTTAAGTACGATATGTACTTACACTTGTTTATTTTCTTTACTTGGATAAAAATTCCGGATGGGTAACAAATGACAACGGATATGAGGATTTCCCGGATGATTATTAGGCTTGTGGTCAACCAGTTGACCTTCCCTGTGATGACGGCCACGAGAGTTTTATTATCTTTTTATTTTTCCGCTGTGATGTATAAGACTAAGTTTTATTATAACTCTGATGTATGAGACACCGTGATGATACTTTATGTAATTTGTCAGCTTGTGTGTGTGATTGATTCCTGGGCACACACGAGTTTTGTGCATTCAATTTTATCCTTAAAATTGGGTGTGACAATATGACAGTGTGCTAAACTTTCTGGAAGTGAAAAATGTGGAACATGAATGGTATGCAAAATGCATTGAAGGCTCAAATCTTGTCAAGGAGGTACATGAACAGCTTTACCTGGAAATTATATATTTTGTTGCAGACAATTGGCAAAACTTTTCTGGTACAAACATGCTGTCCATTCCCCTATTGAAGTATGTTGATAGGGGTGGTGTTCTCTCGTTCTGGAGCATATCTAGAGCTAGTCAGTGGAATGATAGGTTGTGCATTGCGTCTGAAAACAAGTACATATCATGGCTAATCAGCTGGAACAAGGAGTTTCTATCTTCTAACCGGTTCTTTCTGCCTCCCAACACACAAACGGCTCTAGAAGATTTGTCAGAGAAGATAACTGTGAAAAACTGGCTTCAGAATCATGCAAGAGTGGAGGTTGTCTCTGTCTATAGCTATGGATCAGCTATTGTTGATTCCTTGGATCAGCTGTCATTGCCTTCGCACACTTTGTTTACCACTCTTCCAAGATGCTTCACATTGAGAGCTACTTCTCATCAGAACTCTGCCGCACCATGCCAGTAATTGATAGCTATGGCTATGTTGTCAAGAAAAGAAATAGAATTATAGTTCCTGCCAAGGGGAGCAAATGGGTTGGTTTGATGGGTACAAACCCATGGAGGAATGAAGGCTACATTGAATTGTCAGCAGATTACAAGTCAGCAGGGCATTTTGCTGGAAACTACACACCTGAGGGCCAGCTACTGGAATTCCTCAAAACAAATTTGGAGGCTTCCGATGTGCCATTCATACACCCACCAGATGCCAGATTCCCTACTGTCTCATCACCTCTAACAGTGAACAATGCATTCTTGCTGCTGGAATGGATAAGGAATTTGAAGTCAAGTGGTGTGAGATTACCAGACCTGTTCTTGACTTGCGTCAAGGAAGGGAGTTGGCTAAAGACGTCGGCTGGGTACAAGTCGCCTAATATATCATTTCTGTCCAGCTCCAATTGGGGGAGTCTTCTGCAAACAGAACCTTCCTGTGTTGATATACCAATGATTGATCAACAGCACTATCAAAACAAGCTACATATGTATAAAGAGGAACTCAAGGCAATTGGCGTGAGATTTGAATTCCAGGAAGCTTCGGCTTACATCGGAAGTCATCTCATGTCTATTGCTGCTGGCAATTCGCTGACCAGAGAGAATGTGTACACACTGCTTCGGCTTATTCGGTTTCTACGAGAAAAGTTTCTATCTCCAAGTGAACTGATCAAGAGTGTCAAAGAGGGACGATGGATGAAGAGTACTCTTGGCTACAGGCGTCCTGCTGATTGTATCATCTATGATTCAGATTGGGCCGTGGCATCATGTATCAGTAACCAACCATTCGTTGATGTTCTGTCCTACGGTGCGGCCATCCTCGAATATAAACCCGAGCTGGAATTACTTGGTGTTATTGTGGGGTTCAAAGACAATTACCAGCTTGTTATTGACAACTTCAAGTTCAGTTCTGATGATATTACTTCTGAGGCTACTGTATTAATCCTCAAGTGCATCCGTTATGTGGGTTCATATGATGATTTCATAAGGAAGCTCAAAGATTTGAAATGGTTGAAGACAATTGTGGGATTTCATGCTCCTAACATGTCCTTTCTTGTGGACCCTGAATGGGAGTGCCTTCTAAAGGTCTTTAATGGGGTTCCTGTTATTGATTATGGATTTTATGGCAGTGTGATCAGTTCATACAAAGAAGAATTGAAGAAGACTGGGTTGATCACAAGATTCGATGATGCATCAAAGGCTATAACCCATATTTTCAAGCAGAAGGTGTTGAATTCATCGCTTGAAAAAGCAGATCTCCTGGCTCTACTAGGATCATATCGTCAACTGGCAACACATGACCTAATTCCAGTTGAGCTTTTCAACGCTATGCGTACTGAAAAGTGGCTCACCTCACTGGGATTCCGATCTCCTTCAGATGCAATTCTATTTGATGATGCATGGGAACCTTTGTCTCCAATAGCAAATTTACCATTCATAGATGATGGCGACTCTTGTTATGGTTTAGGAATGGAGATACATGGCTACAAAGATGAACTGAAGAAGTTGGGTGTTACTGTTGAATTAAAACAAGGTGCTAGATTCGTCATCACAGGCATCAGCATTCCCAGTGACCCTTCCAAGCTGTCCAAAGCTACAATCTTGTCACTGCTTGGGTGCATCAAGAGCTACTTCACCCTTGCAGCTGGACCTCCTAAGGGCTTCCAGGAAAATTTGTGCAAGAAGTGGTTGAAGACATCCATGGGATATCAGTGTCCTAATGATTGTATCCTCTTTGATCCTACACAGTCTTCTATCTGCATGGAAGATGGACCTTTCATAGATGAAGCATTCTATGGTTCAGAGGTAGCCTCATTTAAAGATGCTCTTACAAGAATCGGAGTAACTGTGGATATCAAACAGGGAAAAGATCTTGTTGCTCGGCATCTGAGGAGCCACAATGATAGGATTACCATTTCTCGGATCTACTCATACCTGATGGAGAGCAATTGGGTGCCTAAAAATAAAAATAGCAATTAGATTTGGATACCAAACGAAATGGATGGTGGAGAATGGGTGACCCCAAGAAGCTGTGTTCTTCATGATCGGAACAATCTTTTTGGCCTGCAGCTTCATGTCCTGGACAAATATTATGACAAAAATTTGCTTGACTTCTTTTTGTACTATTTGGACGTGAGGAATGGGCCTGGTTCTGAAGATTACTGCAGACTATGGGTCACATGGGAGAAATCTGTCCAGGAGATAGCTGTGTCTGATTGCTCTGCTTTCTGGAAATTCATTGCGACAAACTGCAGCAAAAACACCCAGAAACTTCTTTCTGGTTGTGTCAAAGTTCCTGTGTGTACTGACGGAAAGATCATTTTATCAAAGAAGGAGGATGTGTTCATTCCTGATGATCTACTACTTACAGACTTGTTCAGCAAGCTAGCCCAGCATTCATTTTTTATCTGGTATCCTGCTTCTATCCTACCTTCCATGTCTCGAGCAAGCCTTAACTGCATCTATGATAGCATCGGTGTTCAAAGAATATCCAAGGCAGTCACCAAGAATGATGCCTTCACCTTAGACAATTACCATTTCAGAACAACTGATCCAAGTGAGGTGATCAAGGTTGGTCTACTCAAAATAATTCTCTCATTCCTCGCTGATCCTGCTCTCAACATTCCTGCTGAAGAGAGGCACAGGATGGTTTCTTGCCTTCTGAATGTGACTGTCCAAGAGAGTGATGAACCAATCACAGTGGGGTATAGTGTAAGATTGTCATCTGGAGAGGTTGTGGATGTGAAGTCCAGCCGAATGCTTAGGTGGGAAAGGGAGGATTCCAAGCTGTACATGCAGAGTAGCGATGGCGAGCCCAGCTACAAAGAAAAGATTGAGTTTGCGACCTACTTTGCAGAGGAGATATCTCAAGGCCTGCTCTTTGAGATGGCGGATCAGATCCCTTCGCTCGCTGAGCTTATTAAGTTTGGCAGCTTACTGGATTTCGAAGACGCTGCTGTTGGGTTCTTGCTGAAGTCAAAAAATCTGCAGGTGTTTCCTGAAGATGAGCATTTCCTAAAGTCTTTAATGCTAGGTCTGTGCCCTGAAACTAAACTTCTTATTGTGCCTTCTAAATTTTCCCCAAATTACATAACTATATAACCTACTGATGCCACTGTCCCCACCTCTTTCTATACACAGATGGCAGCAAGAACCAATAGTTTTCTGTCGATTATGATCTTTTGATAATGTTCACGGTCAGTAAATGTTTTTTGTTCTTCTTTAGGGCACTATCGTGCATGTACTGTTATGTTGGGCCAAGTATATCAGAGGATGAAGAGAAGCCGTGACTAAGACCTGCACATGGGCCGGGCGAGGCCAGCGTGCTGTGCGTGGTCACCGTGGGACTACAGCGACCTTCCGATATCTCAGGATAGAACCAGGGTAAGTTTGTTAGTTCTCCTAAGCTTTGCATGAGTTTGTTAGCTGGTTGTTAGGATTTGGCAATATGTACTGAACACTTGGATAATAACAAGTCAGCTGGAGATTGAGATCAATCTCTCCCAGCCGCTCCCTAGCTCTCGCTCTCGCGCTAACCCCCCGACGCCGAGCACGGCATCGCATCCTCGCCGCTGGGCGCCTCAGCAGCGGTTCCAACATGTATAATGTTTGTATGCTGCATCATCTGTTTTCTCACTGCAAACCAAGTCTTATGTAAATTCTCTTGGCAGGTTGCTGATGGCCTACATAAAAATCTGGTGCTGTGCTTGGAGGCTTCTGAATGTGAATCCCTGGTAGTGTTTTCTAGCGTCCATCTTGTGCCTAGTCAATCTGTTCCTATATCTCTTGTTTTTTTTTAGAAAGGACTGAAAAAGATTTACCGCGATTTCTATTAGACGAAGCTATATCTCTTGTTTAAGTTTGGATTTCTGCATGCTGGAATGCAACTTGTCAGTGGTTCCCGTGCATGTATTAAGTGCAAAGCAGAACTCAACTGTGATAAGTAATATTGTTTGATGAGTTTTTGATACTTTTACCGACCCAATGTCCAAAGCTAAGTTGGGCTGTGGTATAGTGTTTCCAGTGCGTGGTGTCCGATCTATTTATTTCTGATCCTATTTGATGAGTTTTTGTGTTTGACATTAACAGTGCAGAAACTATAGCTGCAGTGCGGTGGCTTGCTTACTTTAAATTATAAAATGGTTGGTATGGTGGTGGATCTTGTTTCATCGTGATTCATTATCTTAATTCTTCCTGTGTGCTAAATGTATATTTTAGGCCTATCACTCTTTACTCAGTTGCTGTCTCGCTGATGAGATGGTCAGATTTTGGTATATATATTGTCTGCACGCAGCTAAGTTTACCATATGGAATTGCCATACGGAAACTTTGAAACGATGTGTCTGCTTAACAGATTGTTATTTTAGTATATTCCTCTGTCAAAATATTTAAGCCTTTGATTACTTTAAATAGGATATCCTACTATTTCCATGTCAGCGCTTTTTTCTCGAAACTTATATTTGCAGTGTACATTTTTGAGGTTGCCATTTGGGTGAGTCAACTGACGTTTTTTGCTTTCACTTTGGACGAATTCATGTTTTCTCATGGCAGTCAATATTATTAGGATCAAAAGGGAAATATATAGCTTTGCCATATCGTACCCAGTGAAAAACTTGCCTTCTATACCTGAATTTTGTGAGTTTGTATATAACTTATTTATTAAGAAAGAAGTTCCATTATTTTCGACGATTTCAACATCATGATTAAAGGTGTCGTAAGAAATCGGGTGAAATATTCCTTCCTCACACCTAAATTTTTAGCTACATCAATTCTACATAGAAATTTAACTAAAATAATCATTTTAACTTTAGTATAATTTGAGTGTAAATCCAGAAATTGAGGTTTCTTCTAAATTCTGATACAATTTCAGGTGTGGGCCTATCTGTCATCCTCATTTTTTCTTCCTAGCCAGAAACAAATCTGACAATTGATTTCTGATCTGACAAGTTTGGAAATTGTTAATCACAAAATCCAATCCAAATCATCGCTTTCCAACCCATAGCTCATAAAAAGGTACTTAAAAACAGACCCGTGGGCTTGGGGCTCCATTTGGCCCTTAGATTTAGAAGGCCCGTTCTGCATCTATACAATCGAGGTTAAAAAAAGTTGATCCTGCATTCCTATTTTTCATTCTTGCCACAAACAAATCTCAGACGTTGATTTCTGCTTCTAAAACAATTCAAGGTAAAAAAAAGTTGGTCTAGCGTTTCTACTTTATTTCCTTCCTTGCCACAAACAAATCTGCGATATTGATTTCTTAGTGGAGTAGCTAGTGGTCAAATCCAAAATATAACAATAGATATTGACCCTGTTTGGTACAGTTTATCTGGGAATTGCTTCTCAGATAAGCTGCATAAATAGAGTAAAATTATGATCTAGCTTCTGCTTTTTAATAAAAATAGAAGCTGTGGGAATCAGCGTGGTCAGAATAATCAGCTGAAAAGCGTAGTATTTGGCTGTTGATTTTAGCTTATTTTAGTCATAAACAGCTTATAAGCTGTACCAAATAAGCTTGTCAAACTAAAAGCCTGTTGGTTTTGCGGCCTCCCAGGCGCGCTCGAAATCGGATGCCTGGGGAGGAGACATCCTAGGATGCAAGCAAACACGCCGTAAATACATGTGCCCTGATGCGGTTCAGTACATCTTCCAGGTTTTCTCGTGTGTTTTTCTAATGGTAGAGATTTTTTTTTCATGCAATTTTCCGCAAGTGGGGTAATACTTTTGTATTGTTGTTTGAATATTTCCTACAAGGTAAAAATAGCAAAAACAAAATCATTGACAAAAAAATTCCCCACGAAAAAAGTCATTGGCTGCTTATTTTAGTAAAATATTACTTGTGAACTGTGTAAATTAGATTGATGTATAAAACACTTTGGAAGTTGAGAAAATTCTAATGAAGGAACTAACCGTTGACCATTGAAAGAAAAATAGTGAGGAAGACTACGAAAGGCTGATGCTTCGGTGCAAATTGAAATATTTCTTTTTGAAAGAAAATTCACAATACCTTGCCAAATTCTATTGCAAAAGAAGAATTTTTTGCATGCAACAGATCGCAAAAAAAAAAAAAAAAAACAAAAATTCTCGCCCAGTGAATGGTGCAAGGCACCTCGCTCTGGTTGTATACCTGACTTCAACCTCGCGCTTTGATTTTGTTAACGAGGGAGATGGAGGATAGTAAATACCCTTGAATTTCAATTCTACGTTTGCCAACATGGACCACCAACCATGATGTTGTTGGTGCTTTTCCAATTCTCTACAAAAAGCTGTGTGTATGAAGTGAGGAGGCAACGGGCATCTAGACGCGCTTAGAGTATCGTCGACATGTAGCTAGAAGATGATGCGCTATCTCGGGCTCACTTTGCCAGCAGAGGGCAGAAAACGTGGCAAACTGAAATGTTGGCGATATGTAGGCTTACCAGTGAAAGGCGCGCGCCATTGCGCGCGTTCGTAGGGATAGGTAAGTTCACAGTCGAAAATATATATTGAAACATTCGATGTACAACTGAGTTAACAGTCAAGTAGACAGGTATGTAGTTGGTAACATTACACAGCCAAATATAGATTAAGAACAGCTGTAGATAGAGTAAATAGTTTGTGAACCTATCTGAAATTTTAACAACTGATAAAACTCAATGTAAGGAAACTGGAGATACACAACCAATTTTCTGAACCAAACTGTTATTTCGCAATCCAAGCCCTGATGCTAACATGCAAGTATTTGATATGGAGAAAAAAAATTGGTTAATCTGCACTTTCATTTGATCCTCCTGGTATCAGTTGGGAAATAATGAATCATACGATCCGATCCTTTGATGGACTCCTTTCGGGAAGTATGCACATGGAACACATCCTCTGTCCTGCCAGATTATCTTTCTCAGAACCTAGTTAAGGCTATTGGAACCCATGTACCTAATGATCTGCTATTAAAATCAGTGTGCACTCAAATCAAGACATCTCAAAAATAACCTTCCGATCAATTGTGTGCATGTATGCTTGCAAGAGAAGGTTGAGCGAAATTGGAATTTGGATAGAAATAAACAGAGGGAGGCAAATTGAGGGGTACCTGTTACTCTTTGATGTTCAGGAATGATGGTTGCCTTGTCCAGGAGGGATTTACATATGATTCATGAACTCCACTTGACCCCAGCCAGATCTGAACACCTAGCAATGGGAGAAGCATGTAGTGACTCCTTCAGTAAAAACCTGGATTGTCAGTGACAACACAGAAAGGAAAATGGACGCCAACCTCTTAGAGAATCTACTGGAAAGGGAACTTTCACTCTTCTCACACTTTTCATGATGAGACACCGCTGGTTCAATGGCACGATTCTTGTCCGCAGATAAAGATGTTGAACTTGGTTGGCTTGGGTACATTTTATCCAACGATATAGGATTCTTTCTTTGCAGCATGCCCTTGGCTTTTGCGTTTATTCAAAAATAACTGCATTCATAATTCTCTCATAATAGTTTGAAGAGAAAGATGCGTATAGATTAAGAAGTCACAAAAAAGGGGAGAAAGGAAGAAAAAAAGCGTCATACCTAGCCATAATTATTACTGGACATAGCTTGGAACAGTATGTGGGCAATTATTACTAGAAGCAACTTGGAACGTTATCTGTTGTCCACGTATTCTGCCAGCTCATCTTCCAGACCTAGAAACAAATGACACATAACAAATGAATCACAATTTGTATCAGTCGAAAACAGTTACAGATTCTACGGCTGTTTTATTCTAATTGATATTCCACACGGATAGCACGCATTTCCCAATATAAAGCCACTAACCCATGACATTTGCCTAAAGTCTTCCAATGCACCTTTTGGCACTGTCAAACATGCAAGGTTAAGAACGGTAATGATAGCAAGAGTGGAAAAAGAAACCTAGAACATGGTATGTCATGATTTTCTTTGGTCTCTAAATGAACATCAATGACATGGAGAACAATGTAGTGATTGATCCACATCTGGTGACAACTAAAATCGATTTTTTAGAGTTGGGCTATGTTACGACATCCGCATTTCATGTAACATATGAGGGGCATGAAGGCACTGTACCTTGGAAACTACCACACTATGCTTAAGCTCAGTGCAAATTTGGTGGGGCATGTGTGTGGGCTGCTGTTTCCAATTCAAAACATGAGCAAAGGGGTAACATTAGCTGAACGCATATGAATAAGATAAATATCGACGACATGAATATAGCAGGATTTATCTGGTCCGAAAAAGCATGGATGGCTATAGCAGTACCTACCTGGTCCGAAAAAGCAAGGGACAAAAGCAAAGAAGGTGACATT